AAAAAATAAATAAAATCCTCTAGTTTTTTATCATAATTTTATTATCATATCCAGCACTATCATTAATCTGTGGCTCATCATATAAGTCTGAATGAGTGTGAATTTCAAATATATATATATTATTATCATAATATTATACCATATATTCTACTTTACTTTTTATACCATACATACCATACATACAGGCCCTAGAATGAGTAACCCTAAATCATTGATCAGAGAGAGTAAATATTCCCAACTCTGGACATGGGGAAAGTTTTTCACTACCCTCCTGTAAAAAAAAAAAAAAAAACTTAACACAAAAATATAACAATCCATATAAATTGATACAAACAAGCATACTAAAGACCAACAACTACACAATACAGATGAGGTTATGGTAGCAGAAGCTGGACAAAAGGTAAGTATTTTTTTTATTTCCATAATTTTTAACAACTGTACTAAGTTTGAGAAAGTTTGAGTCTGTTTGATGTATTGCTATTAGGAAAATATTAGCCAAAGGTCCCACCCACTAGCAAGAGCATTTGTCAGTTTGTATCAAGTACTAGGAGCAGATGAGTCTGCTTGGAAAAACTGGTATCGAAATAGTCAACTTATCATCCTCTAACCAAACTTAAGTATCTTTTAACACAGACCATAAGGGGAGATGGAACTGGTAATGTTGTTCTAAATTGAGGTAGGGGCTTGTGACTTTGTGGGATTATATGGAAGGCTATATTAATAACTAGTTGATCAGAATCAACTTGAATTAGTAGCTATATTTTTTTTACAATGAAATATCTTCTTCTCTATTTAAATATCCTAACAGTAATTATTCTACAATTGTGAACTTTTGTAGAAAAGCTTTTCTACTAAAATAAGATACGTATTTTATAATATTATATATACAGTTAAAAAACTGTATCATACGGCATTATACAAAATTATATAAAAGCAAAATCAATCCCTACGGAAGAGCCGGGCGTCAATAACCAGGACTTTTTACTTGCACGAAGTTTCCAGTAAACGTGAACCCATGCCATTCCAGAAGTTATAGCTATAGTGCCTGGAGTATAAACACTTAATATCATAACTTTTTATCCCCTCAGCCGCTGAGACATTCAGTCCAGTTTGAAATGTAGAAAACTAACTATGTGGAGAAATGATTGACATCATATGATATCAGATTGGTATTTATTTTGCCATTACATACTTAAATACTAATACTGTATGTTATACCATGAAATACAGGAAAACATTCATGACATAAGGCAATATTGCATTCTCTGCAACCATAGTTAATGGACCTAACCTTAGCACCTGGTAATCTGCTTTCAAACCGTTTCCACCTGCAAAAAATACAAGATGAAAATGTAGGCCATTGTTCTGAAGTATGCGTAACTGGTGGAGGAAATAAAGTCGGAAAAGGTTTAGGGTTTGAGGCTGAAGGGCTAAACTGGCTGGTGTGATGGTGAATATATTTTGTTGAACTAAGGGGAGCAGGAAGATCAATGATGGAAGGAGAAAGAGAAGAAGAAAGAGAGATGGCCCGGGAGCATTCAAGAGACGGAATACTGTCATTTGACGAGATCGGGATAGTGAAAAATAGAATTGGAGAGGGTTCAAGAGGATCAGCTGGTAATCTGAATGAGTCCGAAGGAGGGGAAATAAGGTAAAGCATTCTTACAGGAATAAGTGGGTCCAAAGAAGAGATGGAATTGGCCAGGGAAGAGTAGAAAAGGCTAGGTGAAATCGATGAGAATGTAGAAACTGGAGGAATGAGACTATTGGAAGTAGTATAAGGAATATTGGCTCGAGAGGAGGAAGAAAGAGTGGAGGAAGGAGATATCCTAGAACTTGATGAGACATGTGGCGGGAAGCTTCCAGATATTGAAATGCCGTGACTAGCAATATTTAAAATACTTTAACTTTCAAACCAAAAACTTTCATAATAAAGTGAAGACGCAACATAAAGCTTACCTGGTTTAGATAGAGAAACAGTTGATTGTTCTTCTAGTCCAGTTTGGATTAACCTTTCCGCCACTTCAGAGTGGAAAAGGTAGTGTTGACTGTGAGTAATACGATAAGGGTGAATTGTTTTTCGTATTCGATAGCAATTGACCAGTGATGTATCCAGAAGCCAGTAAAAGAGTGGATACCAGTTGCAGCAATTTCCCTGTTGGGTAGAATAGTAGGAGCGTAGCTGGTCGGTAATGTCAACTCCCCCCATATGGTAGTTATAGTCATCAATAAACTGAGGAATAGGAAGGGTCTTTCGTAACTGATCTCCAAAGATTTCCCGAACTGTATGGGCATTGGTACTGGTTCTTTTGGGCTGCGGCGTAATCTTTCTACTGTTGAAGTAATATCGTGATAGCTGGTCATAAAGAAGACTGTGCTATTATCCTGCCAAACCAAGCAACATACATTTTCCACTATATCTCCACTAACATGACCCCAGGGAAGGACCTTTCTTGCTTCCTCCTTTTCAATCTTCAAAGAACTAGGAAATCCTGCAGCATCAACTCGAGTAGTTCCTGCTGCTCCTATCCCTAGATTCCTTAGCCACTCAAAAAGTGGTAAATTTGTAAAATAGTTATCTAGTATTAGCTACCACCAGTAATTGCCTGGAAGCAGCTTAGCTAGCTGCAGCACGTCCAATAAGGTTGGTGTAGGATTTGCTGAAGGAGAATCCAATCTAGCGATACCCTGACTTGCTGAATACCAAAGAAAGCTATAGGTATACCCATCGTCACAAAGCGCAAAAATCTTGTATCCTTCCTTAATTAGCTTATTTCTTATCTTTAAAGTATGGTGACTTCTTCCATAAAACCTTACTACCATCTCATCAACCACTACCTTGGTTGCCGGAAGGTAGTATCTCCTAAAACGTTCTTGAAGTAGTGTGGCTAATAGATCAAGTTTTTTATACCAGTGTTTTATATCAAGCTCAATCTGGGGATTAGATACATGGAAGTACCTTTTGAGCTGTTTGAAACTGTTCAACGACATACTGTTTCATGGAACTCAGTACTGATATTTTCTGGCTAAGCAGCAATACTTTTGAACTGGCTTCCAAGAGACCTTTCTCCAGCTATTTCTTCCAGTTTTGGACCAATACAAGGGAAGAGCTGACTCCTTATATAGTCCCATTTTTATTATAATCCCTATCCATACCTTCAGCTCATGAGAGGTGGTCTCTTTCCATGGTCTCATTCTGTTTCCGGCTCCGAGTCACTCATGACAGTGTCCAAGTCAGTCAGGCACTTTACTAGGTTTTGCCTCCCGTTTCTTTTTTGCATACAAATTGATATGCAGTGAGAGCTGCTCAAATACTTGATCGTTCCAAAATAGAGAAAACAATGCGATCGGACTTAGACTATTTAACACATGTGCCGGTAATAAAGCCTATTTTATATCCATGTCACAACTGAAACACCTATCGAGAAGAAGTTGCAGAAATTGGTTTGGTAGCTTACCTGTGCTTGGTGCTCAGGGAACGGTACTTGGAATGGTTCAAACTTGGGTAGCCCGGGCAGCATAGCGGCAGGTATCCAGGATTTTGTTTTCCATTTCTCCACACTGGCAGGTGGTATCTGACAAGGGAGATTTAGTGGTGAGGATCCTTGAGGAACCAGGGAAGACGGAGTAATACTGGGCAATGCCGTACATGAAATGAAAGACCTAGTGATCGTTCTTCAGTGCTTCTACCATTTCCGATAACTCCGGATGACCCACTTGGGAGCATAGGTGTTATATTCGGGATCGCAGCCATTTCGCTCTGGTTTTCATGGCTCTCAGAGGCGTCCTTTTCACCTGTGGGACTCTGAAGCTTTCCAGATCGGATTTTCTTTCTTTGGTGAGGACCAGAATTCGTACCCCCAGTTTCTTGGATTCTTCTTTTTGGTGGCATTTTATTGGAAATTGGAAAATAGTCTGATATCGAGATACAGAATTGGTACTTCCTCAAGAGTGAGAAAAAGCGACAGTTGAAATGAGGTTTACTGATCTGCGATAAAATTCCTTAATACGGTTAGTTTTCTACATTTCAAACTGGACTGAATGTCTCAGCGGCCGAGGGGATACGGTAGTCTAAGATGCTTTTCAAGAAACTCCCCTCCCCCCTCACTTTTTAAAAAAGACCCGACAACCGGTGACTGAGCCCCTGATTCCCACCAACACGCAAAATCCACCGGCACGCAACATCCACTTAAATTATGTGTAACAATTCTCTCTACAGTAGACCGGACCGGGTCAAGCACCATGTCTCACTCGTACTGGTCAGGTCGGGTTCGGGTGAAACTGTGGAGACAAGTTGGTATCATACGGTATCATACATAGGACGATTTTTCCATAATAGAGTTATGATAGCGCTACAGATTGCCGTGATGGTATACCGGTATTGCTGAATCTCAACCCGCCCAACCAACCCGCCACGTAGACTATACTAGTCAAAAAAAAAAAAAAAAAAAAAACAGGCACAGCAATGCCTTTGAGGACAGTATCAATCATAATAGTGTATATATGTGTGTGGGTGTAAAAGAATCATCTGCACTACACACTACACACGCCACACCCCCAAATCAACAAGGAAAATCATACCAAAGAGCAAGAAAAACGCTAAACAGAAAAAGAAAAAAGAAAAAAGAAAAAAAAAATACGGAATGATATAAAACCAAACATTATCATACAACCTCACAAAGAAAAAAAAAGGAACGGTGCCACAAGTTATTTTTTATCCTGCCTCAAATCTAATGGAACAATTACCCCCCTCTCCCACCCCATTGATCGACCTCTACACTACGGCGCAGCACGCCAAGTAATGTTACAGTATGACAAGATATAACGGCCGTATTGCATCTGCTCCACAAAAAAAAAAATACAGCAAAGGAGAAAAAGGGCCCAAACACAGACATAGAAACAGAGAAAAGGAAAAGAGAAAATGAGTGCCATCATTATTTTTTTGATTTTTTTCAAGAAAATATCCATCAATGGGGGAGGAGGATGGGAGAACAAATCCACTACCCCATCCTGCGTCTAATTTCCTCCAGGATCCCCATAATCCTCAGTCTGTCATCATTGTCCGAGGTAACTCTTGACAAACCCGTCAGCACCCCCTTCACAAATTCCTTCTTGGCAAGCGCTTCCCCGCCCCTCCGGACGGCATGCGTGAACCACTTCTCCGCAACGTAGGCCATGTCCCTCACTAGCCTCCGGCGCACCGTACCCTGAAAAGGCACCTCGTCGCGCCAGTACATCTCGTCCAGGATTCTCAGGATTGTCTCAGCCGGGATACCGGCTTCCAGGAGACAGTCTACGACCCAGGTTGGCGCACCAACGTCGCGTTGGTGTTCGTAGGCGTAGATTTCTAGAAGCTGGACAAGATCGTCTGGTATCGCTCGTTAGAATTGCATTGTGGAAGCTATGGAATGAAAGGAGTGCATACTTGGAGGGAAAATGTATTCAGAGTTATTGAACCTGTGACCTAATCGTCGAATGTTGTCAGCCACAAGCTCGTATGGATGGCCCTGGCCAGAAGCCTCTGCATCGGTGTGGATTGAGCTGATGAGTTGCTCCCAACACTTCTTGATCTCCCCAGCCCCACGGTAGTCTGCGCCCTGGAAAATAGCAAGGCAGATGTCCATGTATCCATAAGGGTCCGCAAAGCGATTAAAAAGCTGTGAAGAAAAGAAAAAAGTTAAAAAAATCAGTAATCTGAACAAAAACAAGAAAATTTGATAGAATTAAAACATACATCGCTAAGAGTAAGCAAGTTCGAATCCAACTCCTTGATCAACTTTTCCTTCTTTGAAGAGTTGATCCGACCATCCTCCTTGACTCGTCGAAGCACATCGTCCTGGATAACCGCAACATCCAATTCCTCCTGGAGAGTATGACTGAGCTCATTCATCTTCTGTCTAATACCCATTGGACCGTAACTGCCGCAAAAGCCCTTTGCTCGGCTAAGAAATTCCAGTCTCTTCCCAAGCGACAAATCAAAGTCACTCTGGGCAAGCTTATGAAGAACCTCGGCAGCGCCATAGAAGCTCTCGCGCCGGGCATGATACTGCCACAACAGGTCGTAATGGTCAAGGGATTCCGAGCTTCGTCGCTGGAGATATCCAAGAACATACGGCGAGTCAACCTCGAGGAGTCTATCGGACAACCCACGTCTGTGAAGCCAATCGTAAAGAGTATTATGGAAGACCTCATCATCAGAGGTATAGACCAATTGCCAGGTTTCATTTCGCAGGCGGGTGGCTGGAGTCGGCATGCCATCTTGCATTTCCGGACTCTGTCCAAACTTCGAATCCAACTCGTCCAATACTTCAAACACCAACCGGTAGCATTCCTCACGCTTTGCATGGAAGTGGGCTCTCGGATCCTATTCACGCCCCAATTAGCCCATATTTCGCACAGACATTACACTGGACGAAAACCTACGGTCGGAACTGCTCCATCAGCCAAGAATCCCAAAGCTTCATTGCCCCTATCACTCTCCCTGGCGACTGTAAGAGCCAATTGCACGGATCCAGGATAGTAATTCAAGCTCCGGTATTCTATCAAGGTATCCCGGAGGTTCTCCATTGTCAAGCTCGCGGCAGTCTCCTCGAACAACCGCAAGCTCTCCTTCAAAAGTCTGTTCCTGTTGTCTGGATCCCCATCTGTCTTTGCTCTGCGGACCTGTTCAATAGCCTTGAACACTACAACATCGTCGGCGCTACAGAAACTTCCGCACCGTCGCCGTAGCGCATCCGCAATAGTGTCCACATTCAATCCAGCCGCAATATTTCTATTGACAATTGCTGTGACTAACTCCTTCGCAAGGGCGGCCCCGCTATCACTCGTGAATAAACCAGCATAAGTAACCCTCTTGGCCTCCTCTTTCTGGTTGTCTGGAAGACTGAGTATGATATCCCCAAGTTTATCATCGAGCATAAAGAGCACAAACGATATACCCTCAATCATGTTACCAACTAGGGTAACAAGAGCATGCAGCATCCGATGTTCAGCCTGCTGGGCAACCTCCTCAACCCTACTACCCAGTCCCATCAGGGACTCGGCTCCGGATAATCCATTAATAAAGCTACGGTTATTTTGTAAGAAGGCCGACAATTTGACAAGTTGCTCCTGTATGGATAGCAGTTTTTCAACCGGCACACCACTATGATAGCTCGCAACACCCGCAACGCTAGGAACTTCCACAACCATTTGAGCCTTCCAGATTGATCTAACAATCCTGGAGATATAAAGCGCAAGACCCTCTGCTCTCCCTGAAACCTTGACGCTGTCGAGGCTAGGCAATGCCGAAGCATCGTAGACGTTCTCAGCCCGTGGCCTGCCACCATAGTCAATAAAAAACTTCCTTGCGAACTCGGAAACTTCTACGTCTGTAGTCCGAGCCTGCGATTGATTGACGGTCTCGGTGCTTGCCCCACAGGCAACTGCCAATGAAGAAGCGCACCCCTCAGCTCGCCCATACTTTTCAAAGAAATTCCTAGCTTCGCCCTCTACACCAATTGGGGAACTGGTCATTCCATATCTGATAGCAGCATCAAAGACTTCAATAAGCCGCCTCCTCTTGATGATATGAACCCCAGAATTTGTCAAGATAGCGACTTCGGTTGGTGGTAAATCGTATTGGACCGCTGATTCGTTCCCGAATCCGTTAGGCCCTTTGCTAGCCGCAAAGGGCACCGAGATCAATTCAACCGCCTCAACCCTCGAGTCCAGGTTCACAGACATCCCCGTCTCAATAAGTGTAGCCCTTGAGGTTCCTTCCGCCAAGATCGCGATTCTCCCGGAATCAGGTGCCGAGAGGAAGAGCTCATCCACAGCTTCCGGCTTATCAACGAAGCAAAAGAAGTACCCAGGCGCGAATACCTTTGCCTTCCGAGTGGGTGTCAAAGTCGGTCCCGTTGATGGGGGAAATCGAACGTGAATCACCTGCATACTTGTCGGCGCAGATTCCGATCCTCCGAATCCGTATTCCGAAGCCACAGCGCTCATATAAAGCCTACAACCAGTGGTAGTCGTCGCAATCAAGTGAGTCCTGCGAGCTTGTTGGGAGGTCACAGGACTGATCGAAACAATGGGAGTTTTAGGCTCCAGTAACGGCGTGTTCCCGATCATAACCCGGATGTTGGCAAGCGTGTGCGAAAATGAGTGCGTGATGCTCAGTGAGAACGCGGTCTCCCCTTTGACATGGAAGGCCCTGATAGCTGACTTCGAAGACAGCGTGTAGAGTAGATTCCTGGTATCATCCATAACCATCTGGACAATATATTCCGTATCCTTCGGTCCACTCAAGAAGGGCAATGGTATTCTAGGAGCAAATGATGAAACGCCCCCACTAGTCTGGCAAATCTTCCCACATCTTCCATAAAACCATTTCTCTTCCGCCTTCACCTTCATTAGTAGACAAACTTCCGAATTGCAAACCCGTCAATAGCCATACCTGGTAGGTGAATTCATAGATATCATTATCCCCCCTCCCACCGAAGAATATCCGGCCCGTCTTCTTAGAGCCCTCAATCACGCTAATACCGAGTCCTTTGGTCGGGACACTCATCTTAGTCTCGAAAAGAGTAACATCCCTCCCGCCCCTAGCGTTCGGAACCGCCTGCACACCGAGCAAGAAGATATCGAGCGTTGTCGCAATAACGAGGACATAATTGACATCGCCGACAAAGACCCCTAGTTCACGAATGTTAGGCCCGACTATCCAATGCTCCTATGATTCCCGGATAAGGAAGTGAAAAAAACTCACCTGGTTTGGGCGACAACAGTCTGACAGCGGTAATATTGTTTGGTTGAGCTTCGTAACCTTGGAAAGATCCTTGAGTTGTGTAGTCCCACAGGTAGAGACGGTTGTCAACCGTAATCCACGCCTGCTGCAACTCAGCAAACAAGCCCATCATGGTATGACTTGTGGCACGATTGTACTGCTCGAAGATCGAGTCCGGGATAGTGTGCAAAGCCGTTCTCTGGAATGGCTCCCATGCCGATGAGCGCGGGAGGTCATAATCGGATGATTGACCCTCTGCTCACACCATACCAACCATCATTAGCACATATTTCCAATCTGAAGGTGGGGGGAGCTCTACGGGAAACTATATCATCAAGCTGTGGATACCTCGCCTCTGTCGTCAAAAATTCATTGATGGTCCTAGCGGCGCGAGGCACAGGCCCCAGATTATCGGTGGAGGAGACCGGCTTCGGAGCCTGCGGGACCCCAGACTCAGATCCAGAAGGCACGGCAGCGAAGGGCTGTGATGACCGGCCGTCCGCGACGTAGGCCGATGATGAGCCACCAGTATAGGAATTCCTCGAGGAAGACCGCAGCTCCACGGGGAGATCGGGGTATACTGGGTTCAGCGAAGAATGGTACTGGCGCTGAGAAGGGGGCGTCTCGAATATTGACATTTTTTTTTCCCTTCACGCGTTTCGTAGTGTTGAAAAGGAGAGGAAAAAGAGAAGACTCCGAAAGAACCAGGTGATGAGGTTTCCCTTTTCCCTGCTGAGCTGTGGGAAATTCTAGGTTCTCTCTTTCTTTACCCTCACGCCGGCCGAGCTTCGAGAAAATTAGTCGCGTGGCTTGTAAGGGTTGTAGGATAAAGACGGTTTGAGTGCTGTTCCTGAAGGAAGAATCGCCTTGCCGATCGCGTCCTTAAAACAGGAGGCTTGATGTAGGTTCCTTAGGCCACGGCGATGGGCTGGGAGACAAATATTTTAGGCTCAAATTAACAGCGTTTAAGCTGTGTGATCAATTGCACTGACAGTGGCTCACACAAATTAGGGTACTTTGGGGCTTTCTGGAGAGATGCACAACATCGAAGGGTGAGGTTGAAGCATTAAGCATGGGGGAAGCTGCGGGTACTCTTGGCGCGACCACTTTCTCGATTTCCCTTGTTTGGCGGCTCAGCAAACTGTTTTTTTCTTTCCTTCTCAGTTGGTCCAAGCTGTAACAACAGTACAAGTATCCGAGGCCATCATTACCTTGGAGCTTCTACAACCACCCTTCATATAATAATTTCGTCTTCCCATCCTTCCTCAATCTATATACCCCGCGGTATTCACGTCTACACATACCATAGTATGATATCGCACGAGTCATAGCATTTTTCAAGGTCTCAGCCCTGATGTACCGTGCTTCCAACTTTAATGCCAAATCAAGATAAACATTTCGTATTCACGAGAAGCTATCAAAAATCAACAACATCCCTTGCCTTTTTCACCATTCAACCATACAGTCTATCCACCGCCATTTCCGTATTACATCCTCACTTCTTAGGTGATCTTCTTCCCCTGAGCAGCCTCCCTTTCCCTCTTTCTCAAGGCTCTCTTCCTGATACCAGCATGCATACCCAAGTTCCTGTTCAAGACCAGACCATTCCAGATACCAAGCAATTCCTGAACACCCCAATGCATCAAGCCATGGCTCCAGTATGGTGTAATAGTACCCTCCATACCCGCAGCAGTCCCCTTGAGCCCTATCTTCCCAAGTGTAGCCTTAACAAAACCCTTCGGTGTAGGAATCATCATGCTGGGTCTGCGAATCTTGCTCATAGCAGAGGTGATCAAGTAACCTACAACCAATTGAACCTGCACACCATCGCGTCTGAGTTCGGCTCCGAGGGCGGTGGACCAGTGTTGAAGGAAAGCCTTTGAGCCAGAGTAGGTCGCCAAAAAGGGTGTAGGAAGTAAACCGCCGAAAGAGCCCATGGTCAAGATCAACCCCCTCTTTCGAGAGACCATGCCCGGAGCAACGATTTGAGTAACTTTGAGTGTACCATTAACATTGATGGTGATAATCTCGTCCATCTCCTTTTCGGCCGTTTCCAAGAAAGGGACAGGGATATTGTGGCTTTTCCCAACATTGTTGATCAGGATCGCGAGGTCCAGGTCCTTCACCAAAGCCCTCAAACGTTCATAGTCCAGCGGGTCATTCTTCGCAAAGTCCATGGCCAAAACTTTGGTCTCGATACCGGAGTGCTTCGATTCTATTTCCTGGGCTAGGGTAGCGAGTTTCGATTGGGTGCGAGAGACGAGAACAACATTGAATCCCTTCGCGGCGAGTTGCAGGGAGAATTCCTTTCCAATACCATCCGAAGCGCCGGTGATGAGTGCCCACGACCCTTTCGGCCCAAATTTACGCAGCTATAATAACGAGTAAATCAGTGCTCTCTACCTAACCACCCATCCAGAAGCGATATACATTTGTTCCACTAAGAATAAACAGACTCGAGAAAGCACTGAAGATTTTGAGGTAAACGTTGAGAAAAGTGACAGCACCCAGTAGAGCAAAAGCGGACAGCCCAATTGGACCAATGAAGGAGGAGATCTTGGCAATAAATTCGCCGGAGGACGTCATGATATTTGTGTTTTGCGGCAACCTGGAAATCAGTGTTAGATGGTTTCGGGGGAGAAGGGTCTCTCTCTCTTTCTTTTGAAGGGAGCTCGGCCGGCCTTTCCGTTGTGTTGGGAATTTTCAACCCAACGTTGACACAGACCAAGAACACAAACGCATGCCGAGTCAGCACGCACACAGTCCAGCAATGTTGGCGCAACGGTTTTCGAGTGACAAGTCATGCAACGGTTGATTGCAGGCCCAAGCATATCTTATAATACTCGAGTACGAGTACTGTACAGTACCAGTTGGAACCTAACTTCATTCTTCCAGACACCCACTATGCCCCCTATTCACCAAAATATTTCTACTCTAAGCTAAATAGGTGGGCTATTGCTTGGATACTTGGTGCTGTGCCGGAACGGCCCGAGTGTTTCGCAAAAACTGTATTATAAGCCATGTTGGAACCACCATTCATGTTAGCTGTCAATGTAGCACTTCCCGAGTGATAAGTGGTGCTTTCTCGTTTCCCTATGGGTGCTCTGCGCACACCACCAAATGCAGAGCCCCGGTGAAAGCGTGAAAGGGAAATTGAGAACCTGGCCAGGCAGCCATGGTGATTCCCAACAATCATTTACACTTGATCCACTCTTGTTACTTCATTTGAAGACGAGACAGAGACTATTGGCATGGGCTTCTGGTGAGACATACTCGAGTACGGGAATCGGAGCGGTGCATCACAGTTTGAACGACCTAAGATCAGGTTCGGAAGAAAGGAAGCCCCCCCACCCAAAAGCAATGCAATTCTATTTACTCAACCTCACTCATAACTAGAACGCAGGAATGAAAGTGTATTAAATGCACCCAATTCGCCCCGCCAATGCGAGAAAGAAGACTCCAAAGCATGAGACCCTAGTTTACAGACTACTGGCTCAACTCCTTGCCGAATATACTAGAGAACCATCGTGAAAACCCCAGTCTAAAAAACTCGAAACGGATCGATCATCTAGTTATGCTCATCTATGATGGCAGCTTCGTTCTCGTCTCCGCTAGCGCGTCCAGCAGCATCTGTGGAGGCATTTGTCGATACCCTTGTGGATTGTTGGACACCCTATTAGATATGTTAACACTATTAACAAGTGGGGTCAAATCTGAAAAGTACCATTTCCACAGATCTTCGCAAGCTTGTTCAAGCGTCATTTCAGCTTTCCATCCGAGCTCCTCGTTAGCCCTAGTTGGGACTGCCGTAAGATCCAGAACATCTCCCTTCCTTCGAGGAACAACCTCATAGGGAAGATCTCTTCCAACAGCTTTCGAAAAGGCCCCGATCATTTCAAAGACTGTAGAACCTTTTCCGGTGCCAAGGTTCCACGCCCGACACCCAGGCTTGTCTTTCCTAAGCTTGTTCAGAGCTGCGATGTGGCCCTTGGCAAGGTCAACAACGTGGATGTAGTCGCGAATCGCAGTACCGTCGTGGGAGGCATAATCTAGTTGGGTAAGCTATCCGAGTTGGGAGCGGCCTGATCTGAGTTGACTCACCTGTTCCGAAGACCTTAAGCTTCTCCCGGCGCCCTACGGCGACTTGCCCCAATAAAGGTAGAAGGTTGTAAGGAACTCCCTGAGGATCCTCCCCCATGATTCCTGACGGATGAGCGCCAGCAGGGTTAAAGTATCTAAGAAGCGCGGCGTTCCAGCCAGGATGCGACTCGACATGGTCCTCGATAACTACGGGGGTGAATCAGTACCAATGCGCCAAATCCCTGGCGATTTAAGGGAGCTGTGGAGCCAGTTTACAAAGAGCGAACACAAACATACCCATCTCGATCATCATCTTGGTTCTCCCATAAGGGTTGGTAGGACCAATGGGGCAAGTCTCTGGGATGGGGATCATGTTCGGATACCTCGTAGCGTCACCGTAAACGGTAGCTGAAGAGGAAAAAACAATGTTCTTCACGCCATTCGCTTCCATGGAGCGGAGGAGAGAGATCGTTCCTCCGACATTGACACGGTAGTATTCGACGGGGATCTCAGTAGACTCTCCAACAGACTGCGGTTCTACCTGTCAGCCGCATGCCCAGCCCAGAATTGTGTATGATTTGAGGGTAGGGTCGTCGCGGGTGTGTGATCTTGAACAGGGCGCGCGTGCAAGAGGGTTACAAACCTTCAAGGCAGCAAAGTGAATAACAGAGTCGATATCCGGGTGATCTTTGAATATTTTGTCGAGCGCTTCTTGGTCGGTTACGTCCGCCTTGTAGAATATCGGACGTTTGCCACAGATGCGCTCGATACGGTTTAGGGACTCCTCCGAAGAGTTGTAGAGGTTATCAATAACAATAACCTCGTAACCAGCAACCAGAAGCTCTAAAGTAGTAAAGGACCCAATGTAACCGGTCCCGCTATTAATATCGCGAGAAATTTCAGTCAGATTTCAGTTCGGCCGGTGGAAACTAAGACATGATTGGCCAACTCACCCAGTGACCAAAACAGTACCTTCTTTCGCGGACATCTTTGGCTGGGGGGGTGACTGAGAGGCAAAAGGCTGATAAGGTTGGTACCGGTAGTTAAGGAATAGGGCAACCTAGTTTGTTAACAGAAGATTAGATTGCAGAAAACAAGCGTGAGTAACACAGCGGGAACAGGAAGGTTTTGTTTTGCTGAGCTGTCAAGAGGGGGGAGCGGTGGAAGCAACGAGGGAGAAGGGGGGGGGGGCGAAGGGTCGGGGATGATCATCAATGACCGGGCGCTATCAAGTTGGGGTGGAGGAAGAGTGGTACTGTGCTCGAGCACGAGCAGAGCATGGTGGGGGAGGGGTTGTTGAGCTGCTCTCTCTCCCACGCTTCTCCCTCTCTGGGCCGTGCATCCGCCCACCACCACCAGGAGGAGCATCAGCAAAGAGAAACCCTCGCGCTCCTTGCCCATCCTCCCTTCTCTCCCTCACCGGTAGACTATACCGAAGCCGTGGCGTATGATGTGGTGAAAGCAGTGCAAACTTACCAGTGCGCCAAGGGCGGCCAGAAACCACAAAGCTCGCTTTTTCGTAAAGACAATAGAGTCCATACTCGTGTAATAATCCCTCCTTGCCCTCCGGAGCGAATGTAATTATTACCCTGAATCTCAAGTTCTTGTATGAATTTACTCTCTGGAACGCACAAGGTGGCTTCTTGTACCAGTAAGCTGCTGCCACCATTGTGCCCGTTTGAACTCGCACTCCATAATTTGAAGCTGACTAAGTGACCATCACACCTTCATCTCTCTTGGGAACGAATGGGATTTTGGGGCGGGGGGAATATAAACAGGGCTTACCTTTCGGAACCAAGCGCTCCTGGCTACCACAACTTGCGCATCCGAATCCCTCAAACCCCTTTTAACCGTTCGAAGTGCGATTTATTATAGCAATCACCTAAACGTGGCTTCCTCATCCTGATCCCTGGATATCGGGTTATCTCGGGAAAGAGGTCGGTGGAAATGGCAGAGATTCAATAAGAAATTGTTTCGTTTCAGTCCCCATTCAAATTCATGTAGGAGCTATCCAATTAAGCTTTGCAGAGAGAAGTACGAAACATGTGCGCTATATCCGTGTACTGAGGGAATAGATAGAGTATTGCTGATGTGCGAACCAACCGGATTTTTGATGCAGCAACACATGTACAGTACTTGCACAGTACTGTACCCATGACCCCCTTCATCTCATCCCAGGTCCAGACAGTCCACCATACGATCACAGAGGGTCACTCGAGAGTTCTTAGATACTGGTGTAGAGCGTGCATGGGTCCTTTCTCGCATCACGGGAGATTGTAGACAGGGAAGGCATGGGATTTCATTCCCAGCCCATGCGTTTATATAAAGTTTTCTGAGTTAAAGGAACGCAAGACAGAGCAATATCTGCAGCCCATTTCGGTACGGGAGCAATTGTTGATGATTATCCGAGCTTGAGACGGTTCCGCGTAGCACGCGCAAATTAATTTACAAGTCCCAATACAAGCACCAAGAGAGTGGTAGTTGCCGACACTTGTGCCTCGGACTTGATAGTGTCCGCAAAACTTGTCTACTAAATTCGAAGCTGTACTGTGCGTGAGCACTCGCCCAATATTGGATTCTACAGAAGCCCATCGCCAAGAGCTCAAGAGAGTTGAGTATGTTACAACTGGTGCTTGTATTTGTCTTCAGAATACTGCATTTATTGGTACTTGGTATAAACTTGATTGTGTGAATACGCATACCACAAAACGGTTACATGAACTTTTCCCACATACAAGTTCCCCTGGCAATGAAGTTCTTGCCGCGAAATTATAGTAATTACGATGA